TATACATGCGCGGCTCGAGAGGCGCATATTCACAGGGGAGGTTGTGACGATTGCAGTGCTGGCATTTGGGGCGGGTTTCGCTGCACTGTTTGTTTTTTGCAAGAGGGTCCACATTAACGCAGTGCTTCGGTTAGGTACCGAGTCGTTATGGAAAATTGATCCTTTCGGTGGGGTGGAAAAGGGGGGATTGATTAATTTACCTTGACTTTTCTAGCTTTGCACCGCCGACATCCGCGGGTGGATTTGCGGTGGTTGAGTCGTGGGGGCATGGCTAGTAGTTTGACTGACTCGGTTAGAGGTCCAGCACAGGTGCAGATGTGCTGTGCAGGTGCAGGGGCAATTTCGGATTCGGGTATGTAGCTAGGAAAGAGGTGTTTGCAGGAATAGGGACCAAGGGGGTATCAAAGCTTGACTTATCTTAGCTTATCTTTAGTGAACTGGGCTGTGTCAAGCTGTGAAGTGTCCACTCTGTTTCCACTAATGAGCCGCAGTTTGGGGGCGGATTCGGATCCTTCAACTTGTAGGGTTAGTGTTAGTATCACCGCTTCGGGTAGAGATCGCCATGTGTTTGGGAGATAAAGAGTGAATGTTTTCCCAAGAAGATGGGATTTTTCATCATCAACAACATCGTCAAGCTTTCAATTGCATTCAAAACTATCTTTCTGACTTTCAAGTGTTCATCACCTTCATCGCAATCCATAACTCCTCTTTTCTACCGATAAATCAATCAATAATCACAATGGGTCTCATCAAAACTGGTATCCAACTCGCCGGTGCTTACGGCCTCCTCAAGGCCGGATCCAAGTATGTAACACTCATGCATCATTGCGGGTCGTCAGATCTTTATACTAATACTCCGTCCCTAGGGCTGCCAATGAATTCCAAGACAAGAAGCAATCCAACCAAAACCAGAACCAGAATCATCAATGCACCTGCTGCCATCACCATCAGCAACCTCCCCATCCTCAGCAATTCCCTCCCCACCAACAAGCTCCCCTCCAACAAGTCCCCCACCACGAGTACGGATACAACAACAACACCCAGATGTACCCTCCCCAGGGTGGACCTCAGTACACGAACAATGGACTCCACTATGCCAACCCCGGGCCGCAATATCAGCATCTTCCCGTCCACTACCACGAGGGGCACGCGCCGGTACAGCGGCCCGAGCAGCAGCAGCCGCAGCAGGCTCATCAGCATCCTGAGTGGCGCTAGAGAGAAGCTTCAGAGTGGAGTTTGGTTTGGGGGCTTTTGTGTTTACCTTTTGGTGGAGCGGGTTACGGGCATGGTTCTATTGAGCGAGATGTTGTTTGGATTCCCCTGTATTCACGCATTATAGACTATGATTGCATGTAATTAAATATAGAGAGCGCTATTCATTAAACATAAGTTGTACGATCACTTTCTCCCAGTAAAGATGGATGTCGAATTTACTCTTGGTACACTGGTGGCTCTGCACTTGCTGGCCAGTGCTCCAGTCGCTCAAACTCCGCCATCGGTACATCATACCCCAGGTGCCGCTTCAGTAGTTCATGCGTGACATAACGCTCCGGCGCATTGCCCTGTGCATCCACAAATGAGACATGTGGATTCACTTCGCTGATCCTTTGCAGCTCGTTAGCGTGCCGGTGGTGGTGCGGACACCCGTCCACTCCAATCAGAAAGATGGTGACATGGACCCAAGAGAGACCCAGCAGATCAAGTTCAAACTCATCCATGTCTGTTGCTTCGCCATCAAGTAAAAGTAGCAATCTCAGCATTGGTGTTCGCGGGCCTGCTTGCCAGCCATAGACAGGGTGGTAGGTAGCGGATTCTGAATGTCTCTGGAAATGCAGATCCTTGATTTTCTGCCATCCGGTCATGACGCGTGTTCCTCCCCCTAACTTGACATTTCTCCACATATCGTTGAAGTTCGAGTGGTTGATAAACCCAATATAATCAGCCTTGTTAGCAAAGGTAACGAGCTGGTAGCCATGAAGATTCTGGTCATGGATGGACATTGCATCCGTGAATCGGCGGATGATTGCTTTGGCAACATCTATGATACTAAGTCAGATAGTGTGATTGCTGAAGATAGGGACCCACGTACCCTTGTTCTTAGGTTGATTAGAACGAGCGAACCCAGTGACTAGGTATTGAGTGTAAAGTGGTCGAAGAGGGTCAAAGTCCATTGATCCAGACACATCCAGTAAGATCATCGTATTATCAGTAGCTGTTTCGGGGAGGTCAAATGGTGTGAATGGAGGCGGCATCACCTGCAGGGAGTAACTCTCTGGCAAACGCTGAAGGCGGAAGGTATCATCCATGGAGTAGTAAGCCGGGGGTGGCTCAACGGCTGTGGCCATTCTCGCACGAGCCATCTCCAGAGCGGATATCATGTCTGGCTTCATGCGAGGTCCCGTGTTTCCCTCACGATGGTTCAGGACCCAATAGAGCCGCTCCTCAGCCGTATTCTCGTACCCTCTCCAAGCCGGAGTAATGCCTCTCCACCCAGAAAGTCCCTCGATGCGAAACTTCAAGGGGTTCGAAGCACGAGTTGCCCAGGCTATTGGGATGGGCTCAAAGTATCCTGCTCGAAGCAGATGCAAATACTGAATCGGGCGTTTGGCTCGTAACTCGGCGATTTTCTGCTTCATGCCAACCTTTTCTTGGTAGGCGGCTACGATTTTTCGCCACTCTAAGTCTGGCCAACGACCGTTTTCCTCCTCCAGAATTTCCCGTCGGAGCTTTCGGGCGCGAGCAAACATTTCTTCTGTTTTGGAGCTTGATTTGTTCAATGACGAGATGGACAGAGCCCGCCTAAAATTCGATAACTTGGACGATTTCAATGGCCCTATGCTGCTTGCTGCGGGAGCACTTTTGTTTTCCACGGGGCTTGAGGTAGCGGAGGCGTTATCCGGTTCATCTAATACCCAGATGTCGCATTGTGGCTCCATAGCATCGATTGTGGCCTGTGACTTGCTGTTCAATGTCACATTCAGGGCAATGGTCTGCCGAACGGAGTTGGTGTATCGTGTTGCATCTGGACGTTGTAAAGTTGTGTATGCAATACCATACGCTGAGGGGATCCGGATATAGGGATTACTTGAGAATACAGACGACTGGTAACAATCGTGATAAGCCTTCTCTCCTATTCTCCGCCATAGCCAGAGCATTAGTCCTTGCGGTATCTTTGAACCCAAGGGTGACGGTACGAACCGGGATACATCACTGCTTTGGACCACATCTCCTGCACATCGAGGCGTGCAACTTTCCTGCGCCGGTATTGATGAATTTCGCACGTACAGGCCATGAACTCACTGGCCTCATGTTCCGGCTCAATGTCGGTGTTGTAGATTTGGCACTTTATTTGGATGTCCAAGAGCATGTTCTGCATTTCTTGCTAAATGACCGATGATGTTAGATGAGTCGCACATGTGCTGACGTCGAGGCGTACCTCATCCCGAGCTCGAACATCCCCAGCTTCGGTGACAACATTCTTGTGAGGAGCACGTTCTGCTCCGTTCACGGAGCTAATGTGCAATTCATATGATGGGGGTAATGCTCGCATGTCAGCATGATCGCTTTGGAGCCTCGACTCGGACCTGCCAGCAGCGGCGACATTTGAGTATCTATGCGGGTTCTCGTAAAACCGATCAAGGGCCTCATCGAAAGAGCTCGCTTCCTTTGGTGTGCAAAGTTAGTCCCATGACCAATTTTTTGGCTGCTTGTGTTGTATACCTGCAAGAAAATAAGAGCCTTCCCTTCAGTAGCCTCTGGGGCGATGGAGATGAACTTGGCGATATCGTCTGTTGATGGCAACATGGTGACGGTACCAAGGGGTACGTTGAGGTGTTCGAACGATAGCTGTAGGCATGGGTGAGGAAGACTAATAGTAGCCCAATTTCCCCTCCTGTCAGCCTCAGCGTGCGGTATTTATCTCTGCTGATGGAGGGTTATCATGGATAGGTAAAGGCTCGGAATGCGGAGATGGCCCGGGCGCCACTGGCCTCGGCACCGCAGATTGGCTGGTGCATTGAGGTTTATCGTGACTAAAATGGCGCTATATTCGCCAAGTGAGCTTGCGTGAGATATTAGACTCGACGAATCAATTAGAGTTCGCTATCTTTGCGAACTCCAATTAGCGTTGGGGGATTGATGAGACTGTCGAATTGTCGCTAGGTATGCTCAATGAACCGTGGTACCTTCTTGAGTATGAAATTAGAAGCGCTTTCGCTGCTTGAGTCGCACGAGAACCAGAAGATCGCTGCAGCGACACCTAATCAGCACACTTTAATTCCCGTGGTTTATCCAATGATATATCGTAGATCCCTCGGTCAGTGACACATCCATGTGAAGAGACAGATGACGCGGAAAAATGATTGCATGGGGTGATAAGAAACGGAAGACGGGAAGGAATAGCGGCGGCATCCACGTGCTGCAAGTGATCACTTGACAGACGGGGGTTTTCTCCATTATCACATCAGCGAGAAATGATGGGGAATCTTCGATCTTAACGAAACCAAATCGCCGATTGTCTTGAGAAGTGCTAGTAGTAATACCTATCAACTCGGGATCATGGTAGTAGCGAGTATCATTCCGGGGTCTCCAGCAATATCTAAATTGATATATAAATACCTGTAGTAGTATCTGTGGCATTCAGGGATTTTCTGCATGAGATGGTTCAAGACTGCAGATGACGGTAAAAGGATTATGTGTGAACCGACCACTCACTACTTTAATCAAGTTCAATTGAATTAGAATGCCAATCGAACTCCATCATGATATGTGCAAAGCCATGGGAGGGCTGGTCGCAACCCAGGGCAGGTGATTGACAGCCTGAGGCAGCAAGTGCAAACCCAACAAAACACGTGCCATGAACTAACCAATCAGGGAACGGCAAACAGACCAGTCACGGTCCAGACCCGGGCGGGCTTAGCGTGTCAAAGCGGCCTCCCCTAAGAAAAAAATAAAGAGGCAAAAAAAAAGGGACGCCGATATAAATCTGAAAATTTCCCCCTCCTTGACAATCTTCCCCACATCATAACACCGATCTCTATCTTACTCTACTCCTTTTTACTAACCACCACATTCATCATGGGAAACGTAAGCCTCTCGCTGTTACTGACTCTACGCGAAGTCCTTCCTCCTAGAGTGAAGCGACCAGCGACTTGATCGCGCCTTATCAGACTTAACATGAGAATCATCCACAGGGAGCCAAAGCCGCCACCAAGCGCGAGCGCAACGCCAAGGACACCAAGGCTGGCGGCAAGTCGCAGTTGAAGACCGTATGTATCCTCTATTTGTTGCTTTTATTGATTGTTTGAATCTTGAAGAAGGGGATAGCTTTTGTAGGGTGGTGTCACGATCTGTGCAGAGAGAGAGAAATGTATAGGTGTGGAAGTGAAAGGGGAAATCTCCCGACGATCATGCTTACGCAGGGACTACAGAACGAAGCTGCAAAGGATATCATCTGCATGACTTGCAGGTCGACTTTCCTTAAGACTACTCGTGCTCCGGCCTTGACTGAACATGCTGCCAACAAGCACAACAAGACCCTGCAGGACTGCTTCCCCGGCTTCGTGGAGGCGCCTAAGAAATGATGGGAGGGACTGAGATTGAACGGACTGAAAAATTGTTACGAAGCCATGTGTGTACCTGACTTAGCCTATTAAAGTGGCATTTTAAGCGATGTTCATCATCCTGCTAGTTACAGTAAGATTTTGATGTGAAAACTACATTCAAATGGAACAAAGAAAGGGAAATTGTCAACAATTTCAAATGTATGCACAATAGCGGGCTGTAACTTAATACATCACATGACTAAGCAAACGCATGTGCATAAATCCCCAGGCTGTCAGCAGCTAATACACCTCTGCTCCTACTGCTAGGAAATATCAGCCCTCTCCATCTCAGCAGTAGTTTGATATTCTACCATCATTAGTAGTCAAGTTTAGCGGAGTCATGATATAGAAATTGAATACGTACTCAATCAAGTTGCCATCCGGATCGCGCACATAAACGCTCCGGATCTTCCCCACCGCACCCGTGCGTTCCACGACTTTGTTACCTTCGAGGACGTCGAACTTAGCTTCCTCGAGTGCTTTCAGAACATTCTCCACTTTAGTGTCCGTCAGAAAGCAGAGGTCTGCGCTTCCTGGCATGACATTCTGGGCTTTAGGTTCGAATTCCTTCCCGCTCTCGTGCAGGTTGATTTTCTGGGACCCGAAGAGAAGGGCATGTCTGAAGAATGAGATTTATCAGGGTGACTGAAGAAAGGAAAGACCAGGGATTTGAGGTTTACCGTTGAATGTCTGGACTGCTAGGTGAAGAGAAGACTTCATGTTTCATCCCCAGGTGGCTTGTATAGAATGCGACGGAGGCGGGGATGGACCGGACTGTCAAGACCAGGTGGTCTAAAGACTTGATAACAAACTTGGCGGCCATAGTGTTGTAGATGGTACAATTTTCGTTTCAAGAGAACTTGGAGATATGATACATCTGGGATGACTGGACACGTCAGATGAGTAGTGACTGCTGCGCGGGGTGTCGCAATTTTCGCCGAGCCTTATGCTCGGCGAGTTATTTCAAGCGCCGAAGGCAACATCATGGTATAGCTGTGGTGCCTCGGCTCGTATGGATCCAGCTCTTCGAAGTGTATGACGAGGATTTGTGATGTATATTGAACTGCTTGACGTGTCGATCAGGTCTTTCATGACTCGCAGAAGATGCAGTCACACAGCGACTTCTACTGCATCATATCGAGTTACGTTTGGCAGCGTATCTTGACACGAGCCGACATGATTATTGCCGTCTACATGTTGAATATCTGATAAAATGGGGTTAGACCTGAACATTTGCTGCTAATCAATCTATTTGATTGGTGTGCAGGTCAAGTCGTTTTTATATTACTCTGCATTCTCCCGGGCGGACCTCTGTATGTATACGGGTAAGCATCGAACAACAGAGATCAATAGGAGGAAAAGAGGGTTGATATCAAATCGACCGTCGTCAACCGAAATCGTGGTTGTGTTGTGTGTGGCGAGCGGAAACTAATCACAGCCTGATAGCAGTTCCGCCGGCGGGTGATCCCGAAAACACCCCAAGGACTCTAGAAAACTCTGTAAGAAACAGAAATAAAGCTGGTTTTTTACTAGTAAGAAAGGGACAAGCAACACGGGTATAAACTAAGAATATAATTATTCTGGGTTTCGAGTTCCTGTCCCTTGAGTATAGAAAAATAAGAATTATAATCTAAGTAATAGAAAGCCTGATTAATAATTTAAAGAATATTATTCAGTACTAAAGTATAATTATTGAATTAATTTAATAAGAGCTACAGTAACTTCAGAATAAATAGTAAATTCTCTAAAATCAGAATCTCCAGCTAATTAAGGAAGTTCATGGATTCAAATCTATTATCAAAGATATATTTAGAATATACAGAAACCTCAGGATTGACCACTAATCTATTCTGAATAGTATATAATATAATATATAGAGAATAATATATATAAGAATACTTTCTTATATATTTAATTAATTCTGTTCTTTGTGCTTAATAAGTTAATACAACTATCTTTAAGTAACTATATATTTAAAAGCTTAGTTACAGAATACTTGTCTATATTTACTTATAAATAGCTGTGCAGTATTATTTAGTCTTACTTCTCTTCTCTTATCTATGACTGAGTTGTCTTTCAGATAATTATTAGTTGATATCTCCTCGACATAGTTCAACGGTACGTATACCAACGGGGCTAAGCTAACTGGGACAGGGAAGCGATCCTAGGGTTTGACATTAACCTACCCTGGCCGTTAACCACTCTATACACAGCCAAGTTTATAGTAATCTTCTATACTGTCAGCCTGGTTCTTTATATAATTTAAAAAAGATAAAGCTAGTTAGATAAAGTAGAATATTCTGTAATTTATTTTAAGCAACAGTATGTCAGCACTGTTAGTAATTTATAATCTGTTTAATAAATCCAGCCAGTGAATTATCTGAGCCATACTGCAGGCAGTCTTTGAAATAAAAATATAAGGAATCCTAATTCACCTCCAATAGGTCCCAGGGCATTGTAATAATCCTGGAAATAATAAGGCTGACTGGCTGGTAAAGAAAATAATAGATCTGAGTAAAATGTATCTCTTCCAGCCCTTTCTCTCGCGGGAAAAGGGCTTTATCCGGAAGAGAATGTGATAGAACGGATCAGTGAACCGGCTGACCGCAGCCAAAGGCATCGGAATGACGTATTATAAGGGTCATCAGGGTCGTGAGGTCATCGACAGTGATTCTCGAGCGTTCCGTTCAGTAAATAGTAGTGATTCTCATCGATCTACTACTGATCCCTAAGGGATAAGTCTACTCCGTGGATATAGGCTACCTTGTCGTTATTCTACGAATCTATAGTGTTTCGTGGCAGATTCCTTACCTGGTCGACAGGCTTTCTACCCTGACAAGTAGATCCTATCACAGAGAATCCTGAATAAGTAGAAGGATGAGTGGGTTAAGTCTCTAAAAAAAGGATATCTTTGCCAGATCAATAAAATTCTACCAGTAATCCGTACCCGGAGACTGTACAGATTACTCTCATAGAACTGAGCATATCTACTTATACAACTTCGGATGGGTTACTCTTGGTTGGTAATATACCAGAAATAACATGGGTTCCAGAACAATAACAGATATGTTTGTGGAGCTCGTGAGATGGTAGTCTATATACTAATAGACTGTCCAAAACTCAGATACCTGTGATAATAACTGCGGAGGAAGATTAGAGCTGCGTTTAGCAGTATTTTAAATATACTAGAAGGGCAATAAGATAAGAAAGATAAGACATAAGATACTGAATAAGACCACGGCATCCTCAGGGCTGTACTGGACTTTGCAGAAGTATCCCAGAGGTTTTAAAATCACGCGCCACGGGGGCCGCAGAACAAAACACTAGGTGACTAGACCAATATAGGCCTTGACGAGGCTCCAAATTCGTCTGGAAAATAGTGGTTCAATGTATTTAAAGGAATATACAGAGATAGGTAGATAGGGAGATCCTGTATATCGCTTTAAATGGCGAGGGGTCAGAGTATGAATACACACACACACACACACACACACACACACACACACACTCTGCATTCTCCCGTACTGCTGCACTTGCTTTTTCGCAATCCAGAATATCACATAATGCACCACCAGGGATATTGATGAGGAAGGGAAAGGACAGGTGATTCGATCGTTGGAAAAGTGAAGGACTTCCTTAACAGATGTTTAGTGCGATTTCTGATGTCGGTTGCATAGAATGGTACCCACTTCCTTCAGTGAGCACTTTGCACCACGTGTTAGCCATGCACGTATAGTGCTCACTCTACACCGTACAGTGCTGCTGTAAAGTGCATCATGTGGGTAATAACTAATATTCCCTGCAGCACGTGGAGATGACACCCACAGCTGTGAAGGTGCTTGCTACATATCTATATTGACTAGAGATACAGTCTATTCTGGGGATGAGCCTCCGAATTGGTACTAGAATCCTTGCATGATGAAATAATTCACCGTGGCATTTATGTGCATTGCTGTGTACATATATTAGGGTTTCAGGCCACCCGTCTTGCCAACTGTCCATAGCACTCTTGCAGTAGTTGCATTCAGGCGTCCATGCCGTTCTGCAAGAAGCACGACAGTCATTGGTAGATGCGTGATGGGAAAGGCTCCGACAACTTCCTGATCAAGATAGTCACATATTACTAGTCGCGACTCGAGTACTCGAATCTACGATCTAGCTGCCCGTCCCCTGTTCCTCTGGGAATATGTTAATGGCCAGACTAAACCAGGGTTTGTTCCGCGCATGCAAGACGGCCATGTTGCACTTAGTATATTGGCGTGGGGCGCGCTAAGCGGAGCCACTTTTACCAGCTGAACAACAACGATACCGTACCATATCAGCTCGTTAGCTGTATCGACCAATGGGCCAATCTTTACCCTAACCCCCAGCCAGGGATACATTTTCATCAGGACTGGCTTTGTCGCAGTTTTGCCGAAAGATTAATTTCCTTTGCTTCCTTTGCCGCTCGGATTTCCCGAAACTTATCCCTGCGGCAAAATTTACAAAAACAGGGGTGTCCCGCAGTGTGGAGGCCGAGATTCTTCCTTTGCATCCTTCCCCTCCGATTACACAAGGACTGATAGAATCATGGAGCTGGAGAAGACTGAGATTGAGCCACGGGTGGTGGAAGCTTCGACTGGCGACAACATCAACCCAGCTCTAGAGAAGAAGCTCTTGCGCAAGCTGGACTGGAGAGTCATCCCCGCTTTATGGTTTCTGTTCTTGGTGTCCTTCATGGACAGATCGAATATCGGGTGAGAATCTCTACCTGCGCAACCAGTGTTCAATCCCAGAAGTGCTAACGATAAAACGTCTTTAGCAATGCGAAAATTGCAGGCATGAGCAAGGAATTGCACCTGGTCGGGAATGAGTACAATCTGGCTGTCACAATGTTTACCGTCGCGTACGTTATTTTTGGCATGCCGGCAAATCTGCTGGTCAAAAAGTTCGGGCCGAAGATGCTGGTGCTGTATATGTTTACATGGGGTAAGATGGCTGGCGGTTACTGATGAGTATGTCTGCTAATGCGGTGACTGCGGTAGGCCTTTTCGTGATGGGTCAGGGTCTCGTCAAGACCGCGAGCGGACTTATCGCTTGCCGCTTTTTTATGGGAATGTGTGAGGCTGGGTTTGTTCCAGGTTAGCGCATGATACATTTCGATTGCGTTGGAGGACGTTCGCTAATACCGAGACAATTAGGTTGCGCATACTTGATCGGAAGTTACTATAAGCGCGATGAGTTTCTTCGACGATACGCCATCTTTTTCAGTGCAAATATGGCCGCAGGAGCATTCAACGGGGTCAGTACTAGTTTCTAAGAGTTGCGGCGACACTCACTGATACGCTCATAGCTCTTCTCGAGTCTTTTAACACCTTTGAATCTGGACGGATATAAGGGATGGCGTTGGTAAGATTAGCCAGATACGGAGTTTGTCCATTTTCTTACAATCTAGGCTCTTCTTGATCGAGTCCATCATTACCATGGGTGTCAGCCTCATCTGCTACTGGATTGTGGTCCCGTTCCCCGAAGACGCTACATTCCTGACGGCCGAGGAGAAGACATTGCTCCTTGCGCGCCTGAAGGCGGACGGCGGAAGTGTTCGCGACGACCCTATTTCATTCAAGCGGGTGATCAGCATGGCTAACGACTGGAAGATATGGATATGGTGGGTATTCTGCGTTCTCCTATCTCGCCATTGACTAACTGAACCCTCATGATAGCGTGCTGGCCTACCTTGGGGCCGAAGAGAGCGCCAGCTCTCTCGTAAACTTTCAACCAACCATCCTGAAGGATCTTGGGTGGACTAGCCGCTCCGCTCAGGAACACACCATTCCTGTCTATGCCGTTGCCTTCGTCCTAACCCTATCCTGTGCCTGGCTGAGTGACCATTTGCGACACCGATATGTATTCACTATGATTGGCTCCGTGTTGACGATTATCGGCTGGAGCGTCGAGCTGTCACATGTGCAATCTGCTGGCGTTCGCTATATGGGCATATTTTTCGTGGCATCCGGAGCATTCATCATGATGTCTACGATTGTGGTGTGGTTATGCGTCAACTTGGGCAAAGGCGTGAAGCGCAGTGTTGGAATGGGTCTGCTTCCTGCATTCGGCAACTGCGGTGCCTTTGTGTCTGGCAACGTTTTCATCACCAGTGAATCGCCGAAGTATCCGACCGGATTCGGTGTTGGGTTGGCCTTTGCAGTGGTGGCCGGGCTGGCGTGCACGGTGTATTTTTTCGCCTTGCAAGCGGAGAATCGCCGCAGGGACGGCCAGCCGGCCAAGGAGGAAACATCGGAGATGGCGCCGGAGGCAGATGACCTCGGGGATGCCCATCCGGATTTCCGGTTTCAATTGTAGGCTTAATCTGTGTGGGCTACCACGATCTAGCTTGGACGGGGCCAAGCTCAATTGATTAGATCCACCATGGCGTGGCCACTTTAAAGGTATCTTGTACGGCTATGTATAAGGATTACGCCTCGACATCATGTAGCCAACGTTGTTGTAGCACACAGTAGCCTAGGCTCTAGCTTTGAAATATGCAGCTCAAGCTAATGTTGCGTGATTACGTTTCTTTCAATTCCCTCCACGCCGGAGTACAGAGGAGGAGTCTAAATCAATAGGAGGCAGTTGTTCCTAGAACGACAATCCACGGCATTGGGCACCCATCGCCACGCACCTCCCACTGCTTCTTAGGGTACCACTCTTCTCAATGCAGAAGTTATACTCACCGGAATTGCAATCGGTCGTCTGAAACTTGCTCATAGTGTGTACTATCTCAAGACCCTGGACCGAAATTAATCTGGCCGGCGATTTCTCCCGTTTCAAACCCTGAGCGCGCGACCGGCAGGGTTACACGTGCTAAGCACTCCAATTTAGCGAGGACAAAGAATCCGTTGAGCGAATAAATCATTCGTTGTACACTACGGAGTATCTTGACAGGGATCATGATCTAGCGTGGCATGATATATATTGTGTCTTTATTTGAAAGCGTCGAGTGGCCACTGTTCCCTTCGTGGATCCTCGTATCGGGGCCGTTCCGGCCCTAAAGATACGCCACTATGAGCTGGTCTCATATGTGGCCCACCGTGGTTTTATTACCATTTCCTAAGATTTTACACAAGCTTCACTAGGTGTACGTAAATTACACACATACCCACTGGAAAATTCCAGAGGCAGGGGTCTGTATGTGCATGCGAACCATAGAGAGTCTGAATATCCGGCCGAGTAGAACGGTGGATCGATGGTAAGATTGTCCCGAGACGAACAAATCCTTCCAGATTATGGATTTCGTCGCTAACAGAACAAATGAAGGCGGTGGTATTTGGGAAACTTTCCCGGACCTTTTCAGTGCTCACAGTAGAACGCCCAGAGCTGTATACTGGGCATAGAGTTGGATCCCCCAGACTAATGGAAGAGCTAGGCACGGGAATTAAGGATCCCTGTACCACTGGCATAATTTGAAGCAAAAGCTGTTATTAAGCCTTTGAGCCCAATGCTTGGTTTACTACATAGCAGTCATTTTCTGATGCAGTCGGTTGTCGTTCAGAACCCTATTGACCTCCGTGTCGTAGGCTGGCGCTTTCAGTCCCTAACATCCACCTACGCTCGCTTCCGGTTGTCATTCGTTTTATAATTCCTTTTCTTGTTCTTATTAGCCATTGCTTGCTCTTATCCAGGCCACAGCAGCGTCGTCATGGCGGTTAGTCCGCTGGATGTCCCGAATAAAGGCCCTGAATTTGTCAAAGTAACCGCCGTCTTGACGTGCATTGCATTCGTCCTGGTGGTCTGTCGCCTGACATGGAAGGGCTATGTCCAAGGTAGGTTTGCTGTAGACGATGGGATCATTGCGTTTTCAATGGTAAGTCCTAAGCTCCAGTACTAGACATTTACTCACCCAAAGCCAGGCCATGCAAATTGTCAATACTGTTATGGGTGATTTAGGTATGCTTCCCTACAACCCGATTGCGACTAATACTAAATGTATCCAGCCTGCCACTATGCCTTTGGACGGCACAAAGCCGACATTGTCAGAACAGGCGGCAACGTTGTCCTTGCCTTGAAGGTGCGAAATATGTTCTCCCAGTCAACCACGCTCAGCTAATCTTCGGCTAGTTCTTCTGGCTCTTCCAGATCTTCTACAAACTTGTCCTATGCCTTAACAAACTTTCCTTTCTCACCTTCTACCTCCGAGTTTTCCCCAATCGCATCTTCCGCATAATCTGTTGGATTACCATCGGCCTCGTCCTCGCTAGTACCTTCGGTTTCGTTATAGCAACCATCTTCCAATGCACACCCGTTCGTGCCAGCTGGTACAAGCATATCCCTAAGAAGTGCGTCCAGAATGCTCCCTTCCGTTGGTCTTGGGCGGGTTACAATACGGCAATGGATATTTGGGTGTGTTTACTGCCGCTGCCGGTATTAGCGCAGCTACAGCTTGATCGAATTAGAAAGATTGGAGTCATGTTGGTGTTCTGTATGGGACTTTTTGTGTGTGTGACGAGTATCATTCGCATGTGGGCGATGGAGAAGAGCACGACAACGACGGACCCAACCTGGGGGTCGTTCGATGCGTTGCTATGGAGTGCCATCGAGGCTAGTACGGGAATCATCTGTGCTTGCTTGCCGTTCCTGAAGCATCCCATTCAGAAGGTCCTACCTGGTCTGTTTGGTTCATTGTCGAACGGGTCCAGGAAGAGTCACAGTCGGACGAGGCCGAGCTATCGGATGAGTCGATTGGGGTCCCGGTCGGGGAATGGCACGCGGGATGTTGATGCTGATATTGGCGGAGATGAAGATGATTCAGAGAGCGTTGGAAGCCAGGGGCCGATTGCGAAGAACCAGATCATCGTGAAGACGGGCATTTCCATGCACAGTGAAGCGGCATATCCATGAGGCTTGCTGGTCGTGAACCGGGGTGGTGGTATTGACACGTCCAAGCCCTTATATCCACACAGCGCACATTATTGCATTCGTCTTTGCCATCCCTCAGGCCATTGGTTTCACCCTTATTAGCTTCATCTAAGGCTGACCCTTGCTCTCGGCACCGGTTCAGCTGCAGCCACAGTCCATTCTCTGGTCCGGAGCTTGTCCGGAGCTTGTCCGGCCCTCCGTTAGTGGGGACTTAGCCTGCCACTCGGCCGCCCGTAGCGCCCATTAGCCCTGGATACTTATATTGACGGGTCGATGGTCGGCGCCAAGAAGCCAGGACACTCCTAGCTAGTGGAGACTTCCATCTAGCTGCGTATTGACTTTAGTGTAATACATATCAATACACGACCCCTCCTCGTTGACATGGGTGGATATGCATTAATCCATCAACTGCCAGCATAAAGAGGAGGGGCTAACTAGGCATTTGCATCTCCCTGCATACCAATACTTCTAATCGCAAAATGTCACAAGTAAATACAGTTGAGACTGCTCCCCATACTGTGGCGGATGCCTTCCTAGAGGCTCTGGCCGAGGTAAACTGCCTTCAGCTGTCTCATATACCTCATCTCACCTTAATAGGCTGGCATCGACTACCTTTTCACCGTGCTTGGTTCAGATCATCCTAGCATCATTGAGGCCTATGTCCGCCGTCAAAATGACCCTGCCAGGCAGTACCCCAAGATGGTACTCTTCCAACACGAGGTATGTTAGACACACCTCTAATGGTAGCTGTGGTACTGATCGCCCAAGTTCGTGGCCATGTCCGCCGCCGATGGATATGCCAGAATGAGCCACAAGCCGGCCTGTGTGATCGCCCACGTGGACGTGGGGACTGCAGCGCTCGGTCAAGGCCTGCACAATGCATCTAGCGGACGCGCCCCGGTCGTGATCTTCGCCGGTGTCGCTCCATCCACTCTGCTGGGCGAAGCTCCGGGTTCACGCTCGGAGCACGTCCAATGGTACCAGGACATTCGTGACCAGGCTGCGCTCGTGGCACCCTATAGTCGTTTCAGCGCAGAGATCAAGTCGCCGCATAATGTTGGTAGCCTGGTTCATCGCGCCGTTCTCATGGCCACCACTGGCTCCCCGGGCCCAGTGTACCTCACTGCCACCCGCGAAATCCTTGCCACACCAATTCCTAGCCCACAAACCCGCCTCAAGCCTGTCCCTTCTTGCCAGCTGGGCTCTCTATCCCCACAAGCGGTGGAACTCATTGGCAGCGCGCTGCTCAATGCAAAGTCGCCCCTAGTAGTGACCGGATACCTGGGCAGAAACCACAGCGCTGTCCAAGAATTAATCAGATTGGCCGACACCATCCACGGCCTGCGGGTATTCGACTCCGAGCTTCGCGAAGTATGCTTCCCAGCTACGCACCCAGCCAGCGTAACGAGAGGAACCGGCGCCGCACCAGCTGTGCAATCCGCAGACGTGATCCTCGTCCTCGACGCCGACGTTCCCTGGATTCCCCGCCGCATCCATCCCTCCCCCGAGGCAGTCATCTTCCACATCGACCTAGACCCACGCAAAGAGCGTATGAACATGTTCGACATTGGAGCAGCAGCTACCTTCCACGCGGACACAGGGCTGGCACTAACCCAGCTCAACGCACACATCACCTTCTCGTCCTCTCTCACCGATCTCCAGACCAGCTGGACTGATCGACGTGAGGCCCAGCGCACAGCCCACGCCGAAGGTCGCGCCCGTATTGACGCCCGAGCAACCAAGCTCCTCGAAACACCTGATGCACCCTGCAGTGTAGACTTCCTCTGTAGTCGCATTCGTGAACTTGTACCCAACGATACCGTCTTCGTCACCGACTCCGTTACCAATCAAGTTGCCATGACCGAGCAGCTACAACTAACCCGCCCAGGCTCCCACCTTACCAAAGGAGGTAGCGGTCTTGGCTGGGCCGGAGGTGCCTCCGTCGGTGTGAAGCTAGCCACAACACGATACGATATCTCTAATCGTCCAGATGTTCGCGTGAAATCCGATACGAATTCACCTTTCATCTGTAACATCACCGGCGACGGGAGTTTTATCTTCTCTGTGCCGTCGGCAGTGTACTGGGCGAGCCATAGATATGGCTGTCCGTTCTTGACTGTGATTCTGAACAATGGTGGGTGGAATGCGACGAGGCAGTGTCTGGTGGATGTGCATCCCGGCGGTGAGGCGGCCAGCTTGTCGAGCAAGGAGTTAGGGATCTCGTTGGTGGAGGATAGGCCGGATTATGGAGGAATTGCGAAGGCGGCTGCCAATGGTAATTTGTGGGCGACGAGAGTGAGGAGCGTGAAGGAGTTGGATGAGGCGCTGAGGGAGGGGGTTAGGGTTGTGGTTGAGGAGGGAAGAGGGGCGGTGGTGGATGTGGTGGTGCAGTGATTTAGAAAACCGTGATTATCCCATATTTATTTTGAGTTGTTGTGAGATTCCTGTGGTTTGAATATAACAGGGCAATTCCACTTGAGGCGATAGTACTTGCTCTTCAACTGCGTAGGCCGCAGCAAAAGGTTGTTCAGGGCATCTCTATAGTCGAGGTAATTTTCCCACCCAAAAAACATGATACACCTCATCACCGACCTGAAATTCACATGCAAAAAGTAATTTCGGTCAAGTCAGCTGTGCCAATATACCAATTCCATATTATCGCACCTCATATACACAGCAACCCATTTGGTGCGTAGTACCCAGTCCCACCAATCACATCAAACGAATCACGTGCCAAGCCTACTCTCCACCCGTTTAACCGCAATCTTGTCATCACAAACTCATCCATGAACACCCAACAACGCCCATAACATCCTCGCCACATCAAAAGGAGAATGCCCCCAACAACACAACAAGTCCGCCCAGGTGCAGGCGTCCACATCGTTCTGAAAAAAGACCAACCGACAGGCCGCACAGTTAGCGGTATTGTCAGTGAATTATTGACGCGGGGTAATCATCCGAGGGGGATTAAAGTCCGCTTAACGGATGGGAGAGTTGGGAGGGTTCAGGCTATGAATACTAATCTTAGCTCTAACTCTAATCTTGGTGGTACGGAAGGTATGGGTGTTGAGCAAGAGGACCCGGAGCAGGGAAGTTCCTGGGGAGGTAGAGGTGGACGGAGAGGTGGACGGAGAGGTGGTAGGAGGGGCGGAGGAAGAGGTTACCTTGGTGGTGGCGGGGATGAAGGAGAGGTGCCGGCGGAGAGTGTGGGCTTGGATGCGTATGTTGCTCCTGGATATGGAGGGAGACAGAGGGGGAAGAATGGTAGGGGCAGGGGTGCTGATGACGGAGTGCGTGATATGGGTGAGGTTGTTGCTGGTGTGGATGGAGTTTGTAGTATGGATGCAGGGGTTATACGGTGTCCGGTCTGTGAAGCTTTTGAGGGAGATGAAGCTGCTGTTGCGCATCATGTTGCGGAGCACTTTGATTGAGATATTCTGGGATGTTTTCGGGGAATATTTTGAGTGGTCGTGAATACGAGATGGATGATCCAGATGGGTTCATATCCGTTTCATACCTGGCTATCTGAATTTGGCGACATAATACCACTTTGCTGGGTATCTGCATATGACGCGACTTCCAGACAAGTATCGCCCGTGTGAAACACATACGGACGAAAGGAGACTCCTGAAGCGAACCGCCGTCTTTGCTCTTTTAGGCGTGGGACGTCACTTCATATTATAAACAGCCACATGCACCACAGCAGAAACCCCAACCAGACACAAGCACGATTTTGCGACTCAACACACCACAACACATGCCTTGTCTTAATGATCTTCACCACGTCCTGTACCTGAAGCGGGTCTTTCTTGAACGCTGCGAAAATCTCTCCAACACGACTACCCCGCTGCTGCTGCTGCTGTCGCCGCTGGTTCCGCGGCGCAGAGACCAGCGTCTCACATGCAGACGGCAACATACTGGTCTGAACGAGAATCAACGCTATAAACGAAGGGGAGAGAAGCAACAGCTGTGCGGCGAGCATGACTCCCGACACTAAGATGTCAGACCCCACAATACCCGACAAGTACGCTTTCGTGACATCTGTGCTAGCGGATGGGACGAGGTCGCTGTCAAACATGGCAGGTACATGCATCATGAACGATTCAGCGACCGCATGTAGAGCTGTGGCCGGCACCAAAGCTTTCCATCGTTGGCGATCGGAAGAATTTGGCACGAAGTGCTGCTGGTCGCGTGGAAGTATGGTGCGCGCTGTCCACAGGAAGTGGGATTCAGCGAGCAGCACCGAGGATACGACATACGCGACCGGGCCAGGAAGGAATAATGCTTTCATTAGCAATTGCTTCATGCACAAGTGCTTTACCCAATAGCTGGAGGCGGAGCCAATGCCATTCAGGAGGAGACGGAAATTACCCTTGCCGTAGAGGGTGGCGATGGTTTGGAGTAGGTGACGGCTGGATGGACCAGGCTTCTTGTCGCTCAGTTCAGAAATGTAGCCGGAAGCCTGATTCTTCACACTTTCAAGTATGAGAATAGACATTAAAACATGTCCAAGGATATACCGGATCTGAATCCTGTCAATATGCCATTTCTGGGGAATCTTCTTCTAAATCCCTGACTTACCAGCCCGCTCAGAATGATTCCGACAACAATAGGTACCATCACCAATACATTATCGGAATGTGTAGGCTCATGCTGCCATATGGAATGAGCTTGTGCAAGCAGCGGATCGTCTCCAGCGGAATGGATAAAGGTATTGAGCAACGTGCGAAAGAGGGTTACCCAAAAGCGAGGGGATGGAGCGTATGCCATCGTGCTGTTAATGATAAGTCTACAAAGAAAGACTCACAGTCGGAAACAGCAGGATGACGGGAAGATAAAGCTTATGCGGTGCAAGGCTTAGGGTAAAAGTGGAAAACACCAGTTCCTTTGATCGATAGATCCAAACTACTTAGACTAGGCAGAAGCGCAAACCGCCAATAGAACCCGGTAATCAGTGGAGCTGAGGGCGAGACCCTTTGTAAGGGTGGGGCTTATCTAGGTACTTTGACTCCTTATGGGACCCTGAATAGACCCTTATTGGATCTTGATGTGAGACATGCTTGCTATGGGCAGGTAGTGGCTTCAACATCATATCGTCTTATTTGGCACAATGAAACAAAATGCCGATATGGCCACGGTGTCTTGTCCGCGCATGCTCTTCAAGATAGTACTGTGGCTTGGATATTCATGTGCTTGATTCTAGAGAGATAATTTTTGAATGCAGAGTGCAGGGGCCATACCCAGCTTGATTAAACTAAGTGCTGACGGAAGCCCCCATTAGGACGTGCCGGACGACCCCATGTCCATCACTCCAGTTGAGATAAAGTAAGGGTATGAATGGTAATAAACAGTGTCAAGGATTTTGATACCTCTTACATTTGTCTTATTGGCCATCCTCACTTCTGGACATCCACTATTGAGTAAATCAAAAGTGATTCATATACCTCCAGCTACTAACATTCTATGGTCCGTCCTCATCACTGATATATATAACCTTGGCTCCAATCTCACTAGGAGCGAACTTGGCCAACGTCCGCTCCCTCAAGCTAGCACCAAACAACATCAATACAACCACGAACCCAAATGCAAAAATGGAAAAGAAGGCCATCATTCCATATACCCAACCAAAGCCCACGGGCAACCCACTGGTTGATCAAGAACGGCACAACCAACCCCAGCGTGAGACGATACGCGCCCATGAACGCACCCACCTCGGTTGGCTGCGAAGCGACGCATTCGATCATATAGGTTACAGCGACGTGAACAGAGCTCATCGAAGCAAAGGTGATGAGATAGGCACCTAAGGCGAGGACCATGTTATGTAGATGGTATTGTAGAGCGGAGCCGACGATGCCGAGGCCGATGGGAAGAACTATCAGCGACGGGATCCAGAGGGCATGTAGCCGACACTCGGGTTTCCATACGCCCTTTTCGCGTGTGCGGCAGATCCAGAGAGCGATGCGGTCATTGCAGAGGTAGCCCCATAGTTCGGCTGTCAGGAGGCCGACCCAGAGGGAGAAGATGACTTTGGGGGTTGGCCTTTGGTGTAGTCGAGAGGAAGAAGAAGACATACAGAGGGCATTCCGTTGAGGACTGAATCCCCATCCGCCGACGGAGACGGGTTTCTCCAGCCACACAGTCAACAGGCTGTGCGTTGCGACGAACCAGCCGAATGATGCTAATTGGAAGATACCAATAAGAAGGCCAACGGGTGAGAGACCGATGCGGAAAGGTAGGCGAGCGATGCGACCCTGCATCTTGAGTCAAAAATTGTTTGATAGGGGGAAGAGATTAGGCCTACCAGTTCTGCGCGGGATATCCCCGTCTTATGAGGAAGCAAGGTCGCCATTCGGTTAGCCCAGAAGTTCGTAGGCTTGACGGCGGATAATGTCTTCCCGTCACGAGAGTAGCTGGTCTCCTCCAGGAAAAGGAACGCTTTAATAAGATAAGATAGATGCCCACCTGTTATTCACTTCAGGGCTATACACCTACCAAGAATCAGAACGACTCCCTGTGCAATGACGATCCACCAAAACACCTACGGCCAGTCGGTATGTTGGACGATGAATCCCCCAAAGGTCGGGCCCGCAACAGTACCAAACAGAAAGGAGACATGAAAGATGGCATATGCCTTGCCACGCTCGTGCAGAAAGAACATGTCATAGACCGCTCCCACGCCAACAATAGATGGAATTGAACCAAAAATGCCGTCAAAGAGACGCGATGCAACGAAACGGTCATAGTCTCCTCTACTTGTCATGCAAGCAGACCAAATCGCACAGGCCATGGCAAACACAAGGCACCAGAATATGATGGCAGTGCGACCAAGCGCCTGCGCCACGGGATTAATCAACAATGGCCCATAGGCAATACCTGCAATTGAGGCAGATATAGTGTACGTGATGTCTATAAGTTCCTTGTTCCAATTCTTTGCCTGGTCTTTCATAGCAAGTTGGTTAGCGAGATCTAATGCGGTCCCCGCGAACCCTGCCATGCAGAGAATAGTCAGGTTTCTTAGCTTCCTTCCTCTGGCCCAATTCTGGTGAACAGTCAGTATTCAGTGGGGACAGGAGTAATGATGAAAGGAGATAAACAACATACCAATGGGTCTTCAGGATCCTGGGATGGTTGAGGAACTAAGACGATGCCGTCTTTTGTCCGTAGCCCGTCACTTGATAGATCGAAGGATTTAAACGCCGCGTGATCCTTGGTATCCAAAGCATTAGATGAGTCATATGTAGGCATAATCATTCTTCTGAGCTCTCGGCACAGGTGTGGAAGATATTCTTATTGACAACAGGGATTGCGACCGCGAACGCGCAAGAGAGTTTGGGAAAAGCAAAACTTCCGACGGCAATTTGACAGGGGGTAATGTGCTCACTATATGCTAGATTCCGTGGAACGAACGGCGCCCTTTTTGTGGGACATGCTAAGTTCTAGGCCATCCTGATTGCTGGACTAGACCGGGGTTGTCCCGAATGCCTGCATCCGCCAGCCTCTCCGTCCTACGATGGCGTCTCAGAGTGACCGGGGGTTTTTTTTGAGGCATGCCTTCACACCCTCCTTGAATATATTATAGCCTTACTGACTTATAAGTATCTTATCTGGCAATGTCTGACAGAGACAGAGTGACAAGTTCTGCCATGCCGAGCACACGATGGGGCTGACTTTGACGGGCACGTACAACACCAGACAGCTACAGATTGTCATCATCAACAGCATGCTCGTTGTATTGTCAATTTCAGCTGTTTCTCTGAGAGTCTGGGCACGCAGGTTACAAGGCCTGAGTCTTTTCATAGAAGACTACCTGAGCATTGTCGCTCTGGTAAGAAATCCGCTCGATCCTTCCTGCGAAGACACGCTGATGTGATCCAAGGCTTTGGCTCTTGCAGTTAATGCACTTCTCTTCCAGAGTGATTGAACCTCCTAGTCAAACACGTTCAAGACATGCTCACTAACAGATATTTGAAGGTCTTCACGCTGGCGTTGGGGAACATGTCGATACGCTTTCCGCTGCTACTGTTCAGGAATATTCCTTGGTATTTGCATTTATTTCCCGAGTACATGAAGGGATAGAACTGAGACTGACCACGAATCCGAGGGGATAGAACCTCTATGTGATGCAGCTGTTCTGGAATACATGCCTTCCGGTCATTAAGCTGTCTATCGTCGTATTCTACCAGCGCATCTTCCCAGTTTCTTCCATGATATTTGTGTGCCGCTCAGTGATGTTATTTTTGGCTGCGTGATACGTTGCATTTCAAACAACTGCCATCTTCCAATGTATCCCCATACATCACGAGTGGCAGAAGAAGACCACTAAGGGGCACTGCATAGACTTTGTCCCTTTTGTGACCACACTAGCTGCGACCAACTTGTGCACCGACGTCATTTTGTTGGTTTTGCCCACACGAGAGATCTGGAAACTCCAAATACCTTGGCCTAGGAAGATAGGTTTGTCGATTGTATTTACTCTGGGTGTCATGTACGATGTCTGCAGCGCAGCCTTTCAGAAGTCCAGCGGTCTGACCATCATGGATTGCTAGTGTCTGCGCCATCTCGATTGTGCGCCTCGAAAACCTGATTGCAATCAGTGATTCGGATATCACTTGTACGATTTCTATTGCTTGTCACTTGTGACGAGACTTACTAATTGAATTCGTCTGATAGGGTCAGATACATACTCCCACCTTTGGACTGCGATCGAGAGCAGTCTCGGGGTGGTGGTATCCTGCCTGCCCAGCTTGATGCCAATTGTGCGCCTAGTCAGGGGCAGGAAATTGCGGCGCAGCGGAAAATCCTTTAGTCGTCCACAGGATGGCTCATCTTCCTACCCGAGTTACGTGCGACCACCGTACGAGCTGTCAAAGCTGTCAAATCATGTTACCTCGGGAGCGAGTCGGACAAGGCGTCGGTCAGGAAGTAGTCGCTCGGACTTAATCCAGAAAGCTGTTGGGGATATTGAGATCGTCACTGAAATTAATCAAGAGGTGGAGTCGGCCAGTCAATGTGGCTTTGAGACTTAGCCTTAGTCTGCATCTAGTGGCTCGACCGGCCGCTCGATGCTTGCCAGCCCTTTTCATGAGGCTTGGCCCCAAGCTTTTCTTATTGACGTTATACACCAAAGGATCATTCCGTCTGAAATCTCATATATTGAAAAATTGCTTTGAAGAATAGACAGTGGGTACTGCATATGAAACGAGGATGGTGTTGGCATTTTATGTCACTTGGTCTCATTCCCGTCCTGAACGCATAGCCGACCGTGGCTGCAGTGTGCTCATTATCGCGGAGGATGGTAGGCCGATATACATACGCTGCTGATGCAGTCCCCTGCTAGGATAGCTCTTAGCGGCATCGCTAAATCTTATCCTGGTCTCGCGACGAGTCAGGGTCCCCGGTACGATTACCCCGCACATGAGAATATTTCATGCCTTGTGAGATGGCAAATACGGGCATCAGCATCAAGTTTCGGTGTCTTCTTTTACCAACCAACATCTTTGCGGGTCCTATATCGAAAATCTCATTGATCACCCCAATAAGCTTTGGGGCACACTTGGCAGGCCTGGGGGACGGCTTAGCAAGCTCACTACCACACCCTAGCGTAGACACTAGGCGTTTTCTGACCACCAAAGAACCCTTAGCTCACAACGCTAGATAGTAGCCATTCCGAAGCAGCTTACCCCTCCTTCTAGCCCGCGTTGCCGTTCTACCATATCAAATAATTGTCCATGCGTATGCCAACGTAGCGCACTAACCGGATCGCCCGTGAAGATCTGCCCAGAATTTTGCATGCAACAAGAACCCATCCAGACATGACCGTGTCGAACAATGACAAACCTCTCCGAATCGCCATTATCGGTGGCGGTATCGCAGGTGTCACCCTCCTCCTGGCACTGTTGAAGCACACCTCCCGTCAGAATATCGTACCGCACCTTTATGAAGCCACTCCAGAGTTCTCTGAGATTGGAGCGGGGATCGCCTTCGGGTCAAACTCCATTCGTGCCATGGAGCTCATTGACACCGAGTTAGCAGCGGCATACAATCGGCATGCAACATTTCAGCCAGATACGGGCGCCTTGGATAGGAAGCTTTGGTCTAGTTATCGAATGGGCATGGATGGAAAAGGCGCGCCGTCGAATACTCTGAAAGCAGGCCAATACCTGCATGAGGTGCATGCGCCGGTTGCAAGGAGTAGCGTTCATCGCGCACGGTTTCTCGAGGCTATGACGGCACTGCTTCCACCTGAAGGGGGGTACGTCAGCTTTGGCAAAAGACTGGTATCGATCGATGAGGGAACAGACGGAGTCACAGTGCACTTCGCAGATGGGACCTCAGCTTCTGTCGATGCAGTTCTCGGGTGTGATGGAATCAAGTCCCGAGTACGGCAAATTCTGCTCGAAGGAGAGGAGGCAGCTAACGCTGTCTTCACGGGTAAATATGCGTATCGAGGCCTGATCCCGATGGATGAAGCAGTCGCTGCTCTAGGAGAGTACACGGCACGCAATAACCATTTCCACTGGGGCTATGGCGGCCATCTGTTAACGTTTCCGATTGAGCACGGAAAGACAATGAATGTCGTGGCCTTCCGAACCAAAGAAAATGGGGTTTGGGAGCATGGGTCACAATGGGTGCTACCAGGAAACAAGAAGCAGATGTTGCAGGACTTTGAGGGCTGGGGATCAGATGTCCGAGCCATCTTGTCATTGATGCGAAATGCAGATATATGGGCCATGTTTGATCATGCGCCCGCAAGTACCTATCACCGGAATGGTCGCATCTGTCTCGTGGGAGATGCAGCCCATGCGAGTACGCCGCATCAGGGCGCCGGAGCCGGTATGGCAGTGGAAGATGTATTTGTTTTATCTCGTCTCTTAGGGGAAGTTCGCGAGAAGAGCCATTTGGAGCGGGCATTCATGGCGTATGATGCCGTGCGGAGACCTCGCACTCAGCAACTTGTGCGCACTAGTCGGGATGCCGGCATGCTCTATGAGTGCCAAAAGGAGAGTGTGTGGGATTATGTCGGCAAGATTCGCGAGAATTTGGACATGCGCATGCGCTGGATCTGGGAGCTAGATGTGGAGAAGCACCTGCAAGATGCGTTGGATATTTTTCATACTACACACGGACCGGTGTAAAAACTTACTTCGAATCACAACGTTGTTTTCTCTGTGTGCTTTGTAGGGACTGCTGTTGATTGTATATTGAGCTTTAAAGTATAAATTCCTATAATCTTCGCACGATGCTAATGGACATGTAATGGTTGGCCTGCATGAGGAATTCGCACCAGCCGGATAGACACCAAGGTGTAGGCCCGGAGCCTATCGAGCGACAAGTACTCATAATTGGCTATACTACTTCACGTCAACTGTCCGAGAACATACACCAGCTTTGCCAAAGCGACGAAGGCATTCGAATCCAACTTGGTATGCAAGAATATGAGTTCCGATACCATCCAACTAACAATGCTTTTACTGAAGAGTCTCTACTATCGATATTGTACCATGGTGATAAGAAAAGCAATGATAACAAAAAGAACTCCCTGTTGCGGCACGTGTATATCATTGTCGCACATAGATGAAACAGCATTAATATTTTTCTAAGTCATACATCAATATTGCTAATAATAAACGATTGTCGACACGATGAAAAAAAAATCAATGTCTATGACATTTGAGTACAGTATCCACTCGAGTCACAACAGAGCAAGTGGTTCCGCTTCGGATCGTCACCCGATGGGCAGCCGTTGGTGGAATCTGACACTGCGATATTATCACAGTTACCATTCAGTTCATACGGCAGTCGGACCTGCTCAGTGCAGCAGAAGCAGGCCCCAACTTCCGGAGTAGGGGTGGCGGTTTGAGTGGCAGTTGTTGTGGATATGGACATTTGGATGTCTGTTACAGTGGTTGGTGTGGGTTTGGCTGTGACAGATTCCGTATCGGTTATGGTCTCTGTAGCCGTGACAGACTCTGTGTGGTGCATAGTTTGCTTGTCTGTGATGTTTTGGGTGGTTGTTATGGACTCTGTATCAGTGGTAGTCTGGGTGGCGGTAAAGGATGCAGCGGCTGTGATGATCTCCATAGCTGTGAAAAACTCGGTTTCTGTGGTTGTCTGTGTGGCCATGAGTGTGTTGTTGATAGTAAGTGTAGCTGTAGTAGACTCTATGTCAGTGGTAGTGTGAGTCGCTGTGAGTGTGTTATTGATGATCTGTGTAGCCGTGGTAGGCTCTATATCAGTCGTAGTCTGCGTGGCCGTGATGGTGTTGTTCTTCGTCTTCGTCTTTGTATATGACTCTATATCGGTAGTAGTCTGTATAGCTGTGATTTTGTTGTTGATTGTTTGTGTTTTGAATTTTGTGTCGGTAGTAGTCTGTGTGGCTGTAATTGTGTTGTTGATAGTCTGTGTGGTTATCAGGGACTCTCTGTCAGTTGCAGTCTGCATCACTGTATAAGACTTTGTGTCGGTGACTGTTTGCGTAGCTGTTGTAGGCTGCGTTTCGGTAACACTTTTGGTGGCTGTCAACGCCTGCGTGTCCGTGACCGTCTCTGTAGCGGTGGTAGACTGTACATCAGTTGTAGTTTGTGTTGTCGTAAGCGACTGTGTGTCAGTAGTAGTCTCTGTAGCCGTGGCCGATTCCGTGTCGGTGGTAGTTATCGTAGTCGTGGACGGTTCTACGTCGGTGACGGTCTCCGTAGCTGTAAGTGTGACTGGGGCTGCACTTGAAGAATTGCTCGAGGAACAAGTGCAATTGCTGTCATTTTTAGATCAAATATGTAAAACACGCCGGTGGCACAGCCCGGGGCCACTTACGGCGTGTTTGTGCTAAGTAAAGGAAGCCCAAGAAGATTTAGAGCTGGATTGCCCCCACAATTGCCTCCACTGCTGCCTGCCATTCTACACTATGAGCTGTTAGCTAGCCTCTCCCATCTAATTCTTTGCGCAGGAAGACATTCTTACTTCCATATCACAGGCCTCAGCATCACAAGCTCGCAAGGCGACGCCTAGATTGATGTCACTGGGAAGGGCGGTGACATAACTGAAGAGCGTGAGGACAACTACGCGCTTGATATGCATTTTGCAATGTATAGCCTTGTTCGAGGCTTGTAGCGCGAGTCGAAAGTGGATTGAAGCTTTTGATCACCAGCACAAGTAGCGCCGTTTGATGTCGATAACGCCTAGTTACGTTCCAATACGGGACATGGCTACGGGGTATCTCCTTTCTTAAAGTTCCTGGGTGCTGTCAATGTACGGAATGTAGAATAAGAGAGCGAAGACTAGAAGCAGCAAAAATATTTAGACCTCAACATACCGCAGCGATTGGCCATAGGGTCAGCGATATAGACATGATAGTGGCCAATAGGGGAACACACGTGTCTCGCCAAAGCTACCCTTCCAGGGGCGATTATATCTGTTTGGTGATGCGAATATGCAGGGGGTGGGAGTTATGCCAATGATTTCCATTTGTGGCCAATTATGCCGAAACAATGCTGGAAATGGGTCTTGTCAGTTAGTAGCTGGCTGCAGGGCTGCAGGGCTGCATGGGATATTGTTAGCTTCTGTAGAAGTCAAAGATATCATTGCCTAAAGCCATTGTTGATCCTGGTCACCGCTGTGTGAGGAATTGTTCGTTTCTTACTCGCAATTCTAACCGCCCTCTTACCAAGCCCCCACGATGCAAAGTGCACTCAACGAAATGGTACCATTTGCTGTTATCTTGCGGAAAATATTGCCGGCTGCTGCAGAACGCCAATAGGGTGATTATTTTCACGTATGCCTGTGCATGCCTGAACCTTCGATCGGAGGATTCCACCGTTGATCTCAACATAATATAGTGTGGCGTCATGTAAGGTAAATATGCCGAGTAGCTCTTAGAATCCCCAAGGATGATAAGAACCTCGAATAGGCGTAATTGGGGCAACGATTGGCGTGACTGTTATGCCACATTCCACCCTAGTACCGGCCAACCGCTTTCTGCATGGGTTATATCCGTCCGGCGACCACAAGAAGCGCTAACCCAGATAAGTGCGTTATCGGTCACGCTCCATAGAGATTTACTATTGCTGCTGGCTGTGTAAAGAAATACAATGGCGAGAAACAAGCCAACCACGGACCACTGCGAGGAACTTGCATACTGGGTGCTGATCAACCTAAACTTTGCACGGGCGGGATTTGCCCAGAGTTTAATTTGAGGATCAACTGAAACCATGGTGCCGATTCCGCTCTCCCAGAACAAACCCCTTCCACTACGTGAACGCTATTTTTATTCTATATGGACTGGAAGGGATCTTGGTCCGGCGCTATGGTCCCTGGCTGGCACGGTTCCTTGGCTATAGGCAAAAACCGGTGTGTGTCGGACCCTGAAGTCGACCTCCTGGCGGCTAAATATTTAACGCAACTTGAAGTTTAAGTTGAACTTTAAACGATCTCAAACGGACATGAAACTGCGGTCGAAGCAACGCCGCCCCACTGGTTCATCCAGCTTTCTGGCTTTCACGCTCGACCAGGCAATGGATGCGAAAAAGGAGACTCAAACGGCATGCAACATACTACCATTCTACCATCGTTCTTTCATCGGAAACGATGATCCATGCAGAGAATCAGCGGACCTGTGTGTCAACCTATCTCTAGCTAAAAATACTCCTATTCGCCGACCATATATGAGACCTTCACTTGGCGTTGTTTAGCTTTCGCATGGAGGAGCTCCAAACGGTAGATCCATGAATCCTGAAACCATTGCCGGCACCTTCGGAATAAAAAGCGACACCGTCCCCGTCTCACGCGTTACCCTCTCCTCTCGCATCATGCAAGCTTGCACCGGGTGTGCCAGCAAGCCTACAGGCTAGGCTATTACGCATGGAGTCTGCATCCTACAATGCTGGCCCTGGCATTCTGGGCCTCACTTGGGCAGCAACGGGTGTAGCAACCCTCATCATGCTCTTGAGGCTCATTGCGAAGCATCGTATTCGCAACCTTTCTTGGGACGATGCGACCATGGTCTTTGCTTATGTATGGAACCGCTTGCAACGACCGTACCACTCCGCTTACAATGGCAGGCTCTGGCTATTGCGTCTTCCATCCTTATCACGATAGCAATCTCTCACGGATATGGACGACATGGTTACGAACTCGATCGAACGGACCGTATATTAACTACAAAGCTCTACACGGTGTTTCAATGCGTCACGATCGTCAGCACGGGCACAGGAAGGGTCGCTTTCGTGTTATATTTAATTCCCATTTTCCGACACAAATATCTCACTGGACATCTACTGTGGCTCATATTCGCCCTTCAACTCATCGCCAATTACGTCAGTCCAGTGACTATTCTGGCCCGGTGCTCTGATATTCGCGCTATCTGGGATGTTAGTGTGAAGAGCAAATGCTGGAATCCAAATATTCTGATCATATATAGCTACGTGCAGTGCAGTAAGCGTCCATGCCAATATTGTTCCAATAGATGGCACTAATCATGGAATTCACAGCTATTAATACAGCCACCGACCTTTACCTCGCAATATTCCCCGCATACACCTTGTGGAGTATAAACCTCAAACGACGGACAAAGACAATCCTCATCATCCTGATGAGCCTGGGGCTCATGTATGTACTATATCTATTGTCTAACCCAACACAATTCTAACCGACTTTTCAGCGCCATGGTAGGATCAATCATGCGGATCATTAATCTCCCCTCCCTCTCCATCATCGACGATGAATCGGCTGCAACGAACCGGTTGACTATCTGGGCCTTGCTAGAATGCTACTTGGTCATCACGACGGCATCTATTCCCTGTATTCGGACATTAGTGCGGGATTCAGTACGTCTGCTAGTCAACAGCAGTCGATCACGGTCGCAGCGGGAGCCAGATAGTAGGAGGACAAGGCAAAGCACTTGGGGCGATTATCACATCTCGCGCAGCTACCGTGTAGCCGTAGGTGATGATGTCGAGGACAGGCGGCACATTCTGGGTGATGTTGAGTTAGGACGGTACGGTCGTAATGGGATAAGCAAGTTGGTTGAAGTGACCGTTGCGGAGGAGTCGATACCAAAATGGATATAATATAAAGAGCGCTTGTAGCTTTGGCTACAACATAATACATTAATGTAGTCTCCCGGTGTACATACTGCCAGTAGTTTCAGTAGGCTTTTCGAAGTACCTGTTACGCGGGACACGAAGAATATTTTTGTCTATAGCACCTAGCGTAGACCGGCATACAGACCATGATGAAAACACTATACGCTGACACATTAGTTTTATATATATCTCCTCAATGCCATCCCACCCCCTAACGGACCTATAACAGGTAGAATTACTCCTCATCCACACAATCCCCACCGACCACTGCACTTTCCCCAACAGCAACCGGCATGTCCATAACCGGCCCGTGATAAATCTTCCTACCCCTAACCAAATACCACCCCAAGCCCAGGAGAAACTCTCCCATAAATACCACAATCGACCAGTTCATATTTGTTGGCGTGACCGGCAACTCCTCGGGAAAGAACGAGAAGAAGATAGTGATGGTCAAGAAACAGATCGAACCGATATTGATCAGGATACCCCAGAGCCTGCCCATCTTCCATGGGCCGTACTGTAGAGGCTCGTTCTTGAGCTTCTTGATGAGGATTAGCACGATCGCGATTTCGTATGAAGAGAAGAGTCCTGCTGTGGTCAGGGAGATCATGGCGTTGAAGGCCGCGCTCGAGCCGATGTTGATGAGGCAGGTAATGGCTGTGATTATGGCGCAGAGGGCGATGGCGCGGAGGGGGAGGGCGGAGCCGGATGCCCTGGAGTTTATCTATTTCAGTTATGTTAGTAATGATGGTACTTGTAAGCAAGGGGGAGGTGTTTTCGTACATGAGATAGGAAATCAGCGAATGGAATTCCCTTGTCCTTCGCTAGTGCCCAGGTAAGACGTGATGAGGAGGCCAGGAAGCCGAACGATGCGCAGATAGTCAGCAACAATTACGATGGCGGTCATTACAGATGTTCCGGCGTGGGATTTTGTCGCGTTGAAGAATACTTCGATGAAGTCGTATCCTGTTGCGCTGTCGAGGGCGGCGTCAAGGTCGCCAACGCAGAAGAGGAAGGCTAGGACCATGGCGAAACCGAGGACACCGTTTAGCATGATGGTCGCGATCATGCACCAGGGGACTATAACCGAGGCGTTCACTACCTCCTCCGCTGTAGATGTGTTAGATATGAGTGGAGTTGTAGTTGGGGTGTGGCCGAGGACATACACATGTGACAAGGGCCATCATATCCTGGGTTACCGAGTCAGTTAGATCGATTGAGTCCGCGCGAGGAGTGTGAGCGTACCAATAAATGGAAGATTCGTCCCCATCAGCCCAATCAGCCAGGTAAGGCCAGAGCTCTTCCATCCCGAGGTATTGGTGAAGTTTGCAAAGACGAATTCGCCGTTCTTGTGCGGAGCCAGATAAACCAAGGGGATCAGGATAGCTAGGAAGCCAGCGGTATGGAGAATGAGAATTAAACCTTCGATCTTAGGTAGGAGCCTTGCCCCGAAGGAGTTGACCAAAAGGCAAATCACCAGCGCCGCGAACATGAGCAGGGTTCCATGCCAACGTTGAAAGTCGTATCCGTCATAGTTCAACACCAGAAGGCCCTGCAAGACGGTGGCAGCGAAATACACACCCGACGCAGTGTTGGCCCACCATCCGATCATGTCCAACCATCCAGTTACCCAGCTGAGGAAGACAGCCTGGCCTTTAGGGGCGAGGATTGACACCCAGTGATATTGACCTGCCGACGTGGGAGCCCTGTGTGACAAATGTCTTAGTGTTGTTCTTTTCAAAGTCCGTCTAAAGGGGCTGGTACATCGAGGCCATTTCGGCAAGAGAAGCTGCTGTTAACAAAGCTCCAATCCAGCAGAAGATAAACCCGTAGACGAGGGTTGCTGGTCCTCCGTCAGTCATGGCTGCTGGATTAGCGCTGTACTATTGGTCAGCTGCCTGACATTAGACAGTGGAGATGTTGACACTCACGTAAGGACCGCCTCCCAAGTACACATCATCGTGGTTGTGAAGCCCAGCATCGACAGGAACCCGAAATTTCTCTGCCTACATTAGTTGCGACGTAGAGACACTGAATGAAGGCTCACCTCGAAACGCTGTTTCCTGCCAAACTTTGCCATGTCTTCATCATCACGATCCTTGTATTGCCGGGAGCCCAGCTCCTGGATTGCCATATCTCCATGTTTGAAAGACATTATGTTGCTTGACTGGACATCAATATGGAAATCAACCAGGCAAGACAGAAAGAAAAGTATGACAGGGAGAGAAGAGAAGGAAAGAAATATTGGTGTACGACTATGGGGAATGCTATTAAAACCGAGCGACCGACCGATACTAGCAGGTCTTGCAGGTTTGCTGCACGATTATTAGGTCTATCCCTGAAATATCCACACGGGGATTCCTTGAATAGGCAGGTCGTCTTCCATGCTCATTTGAGATTGTTCACCTCCGACCTTCCGAAGTAAATCAACGTTTGTGCACCCTGAGGTAGGCCCTGGGCCTCGTATGATAAGTGGCCGTGGGATATTAGGCCGTCTGCCAGTCCGTCAATGAACCGGCTTTGACTGCATATTAGCTTCGGGGATCTAAAACGACACTAATTAATTCTCGGATACGCTCATGGAAAGCTTCTAGACCTAGTTCCATCTGCAGCGCTGTTTACGCTACTGCGAGCCCCTTGTCCAGACGACTGCCCGAGCACTAGGTCGTCGGACAGGAGTCAAAGTGAAGACGGCCACGGCTTACCCAGACAAGCTTTGGGGTAAACCTCAAATGCCCAGATAATATTTTATAGTGAAATAGGATGTGTGGCTGACTCGTCGGGGTCAAGCTGCGACGCCATGACTGACAGTTAATCTTGATGCGATGACTGGGTCATTATCATGTCAGCACTAATCCATGATGCATGCACTAATTGCTAGCATATCGCTCCAGCCCATAACGACTTGCCCTTAGCTTCGCCCTATCCCGAAAATAGTAAGCTATATGTCGTAAGTGCCACAGTAAGGTCCCAGACTGCCATCGCCCGCGCTGCTGTATGGAAATATCTACTGGACGGCAAACACCGCCTAAATCTCATGACCCCGCTGCTAAACACAAGCAACTCAATGTAATCAACCAGCATATCACGCCGGGCTTATTTAGCTTACTCTCCCAGTAATCTATGGGCCTTCTCGAAGTTGGCGTTTTTCATTCGCATTTTAAACCTAGGATTCTATTGTCATTTTCCACCTCCCTCAGCCACTCAGTCCGAATTTGCAACTTCTAGTTACCCGAAATGGGCGGCATGGTCGATTGGGCAGCGCGTCCCACATATCCCTTGGAACAGCTCAGACGCTACTTCGACCGGATCGGGCTCCCCGAAAATTATCGAGAAGCTTTGCAAGATGTAGCGATCCTCCATGGCCAGTCTGCATTAGCTTTGCTGAAGGTGCTGCAACGATACCAACTAGCAGCTGTCCCTTTCGAAAACCTGAACCTCCACTATGCTGTTCATCGGAGTATTTCCATTGATCCTTACAAGGTGTTTGAGAAAATTGTTGATTCTAAGTCTCGTCGTGGGGGCTATTGCATGGAGAACAGTCTCTTGTTTGGCACCGTCCTACGAAGCCTGGGATACGATGTGACCACCGTAGGGGGGCGAGTCAACGAAGCTGCCCAGCCCATGTCTGCCTCGAAGAATTGGAAAGGACCCAAGTATGACGGATGGTAAGTTTCCCGTTTCTTTGGGGGTAAAGCTCAATCATGAAGTGCTGACGAGCTTTAATGAAGGAATCACATGGTCAACATCGTAACTATCGATGAACAAAAGTACCTTGTAGACGTTGGATTTGGCTCCAATGGGCCACACCAGCCCATCCCACTGGTCCAGGATTATGAGTTCCACAACGTTGGTGAACAGTCGGGCCGGCTAGTCAACGGACCTATCGCTCAACACACTAGCAGGAGCCAATCTCTGTGGCAGTACGAATTTCGCAACGGGGACAGTCATTGGATTCCGGCTTACTGCTTCACCGAGATGGAGTTCCTTCCAGAGGACTTCACTATGATCAACTATTACATGAGTACCAGCCGGGAAAGCTGGTTCACTTATCATGTTGTCTGCGTGCGGATGTTACTCAACGAAGATGGTGACAAGATTGTGGGCGATGTGACCCTGTTCAACGACACGCTTAAAGAGCGCCTGGGAGCGACATCCAAGGAGCTAGAGAAATTTGCGTCGGATGAGCAGCGCGTGCTAGCGCTAGAGAGAGTATTCGAGATTCATATCTCCGAGGCCGATCGGGAGAGTATTCGCCATACAATATCGGAAATCCTCTAGAGAACGGCGCAGCCGGAGAATGGACATCCGGAAAAGGCTGTAGGAAGACAAATCAGCGCACTGAAAGGTATTTGTTGATTAAATATCATCTGGACATTTGAGTTAATCTTATTGGCCACTATTGTTACTGATAGAGATTTCAATTTAATCTTGATATTGTAGCGCCACAGTTAATTTAGCACGCGCTTTAGGGTACGGATCGTTTGTTGTCCCCGCCGCGGAACTAGCCAGTCATATGAATTCCCCAATCCCGCTGACGTGGCGTAAATGAAGCTTGTCTAACTAATGAGATAGGACAAGGATGCTAAGCTCATTTGCTTAGCCATCTATTAGCTTCGCTCTAAGTATGATAGGAACGTCCTTAGGAGTGGGCGAACGGCTGGCCCTTTCGCTCCTTTTCCGTCTTGGCACGCGCTCATTCTACGCAAAACACGCCGGTATGCTACGCCATAAACAATATTCCCTGAGTTGGAGACTACGAGCTAGGACCAGAAACCTGAGGTCCTAGCTGTATCGTGAGTTATTAGTCGGGATTAACTAATTAAATTAGGCCGAGGAAGCGAGGACGGAATCTTTGCATCCTCGACTCACTCACAGCCGTCTTCCGGGGAAATGCCAGTTTCGCATAGCTGGTTAGCTCGTGGCTGCTTTCGAAGGAATGCTTCCTTTCGAAGTGTCCATAATGAATCCCTGAACCTCGCTTGGGCCTCTCTCCTGTCCCGCGTGCGGTTTTATTTTCATGCACAACGATACTACACGGTTAGCACTCGTCTTTGGCAGGCAAACGGACACTGCGATTTCAACACTGATCAATCTCCCCGTCGGGAACAAGGAGTAACAATCCCCCGTCATCGATCACCCATTAATGCTATGTTCTTAGCCCGTTCCTACAACGTGTGTTCCCACCCCCACCCTAGACCGATTGGCAACCTTGACGCATTAGCATAAGCTAGCCATCCTTTCCCAAGAGAGGACCGAATAGTACCGCGGAGCAGAGGCAAGTAGCTCATTAGGGGACCTTGCTGTATACTGGTTTTGCCTTTCAGCTTGAGGATCCTGGATAGCGGCCTGTAATTTCCCCAGCAACATGCGCGCTCGCCTACGTACACGACGGTCCGTCATGCGTCACTGATTAGCCCTGGTCTAATGGTATGGTGGTTAAGCTAAACAGGGATCAGAGATAGTATCTGATAGGGGTAGGTGCCTAGTGCGCACTATGGGTCTGCTCATTCGATCGGAGAAGTAGCTTCAGACCCAGTCCCAGCTCCTGTGTGCACTCCCACGGAGGATGGGTTATTTGTGTGGCCGGGCTTGTCCGAGATTATGCCATTCAACTAAAACATGTGCTGATAATGAGACTTCCCAGATCGAGTCAAGCAATAAGTGTTACTAATCGGCGCTGCTGTGGACTGAAGGGTGCGCGTGTACATAGCTTTCTATACTTACTGCCGCAGGCGTTCGTGCTCCCTGTGTTAAACCACCATGAGCGCACAGTCTATGCTGGTACCTCTCCTTTCATGCTTGCATTCCTGCTTCTACATCAATCCCGAACATGCTTCCACAGCTCTCGCATATCTACCAATTCCTTCGCATCCCTAATATTGGCATACGCGCAATTTACCCGGCGACGAAACATGCGCCCGATCATGTCGACGAAATAGCCATTGCCACTATATACTTGATGGTGATGATGATACTGGCTGTTTTGATACGACTGGCCTTCCGGCTTCACATGCTTCGCTCACTGGAATGGGACGATGGGACTATATCGCTTGCACTGGTATGTTTACCGCTCCAGCTTTTCGAGACAATTGGTGTATTGATTCATTAATGCGGTTCCATCACGATAGTAGATCTTCGCTGTTGCACAATGTGCTGTCATTCTTGCTGGAACGAGGAATGGGTTGGGCAAGCGAGAATTGAGCCTCAGTGACACGGAAGTCCAAACACTAGAGAAGGTGAGTTTTAGCCAGTCTCTGATAAAACAGGTTTGTTAATATCACAATGTCTGTCAGGTTCTCTATTCATCGGAAATTCTATACATTCTTGCTCTTAGCTTAGCAAAGACCTCAGTACTGCTGCTCTTGAACAGATTGGCTGTTAACAAGTGGCATAAGCGAATTTCATTCTGGACGTCAATACTGGTCGGTATTTGGACTGTGCCAGTCTTTTTCACTCTGGCACTGCAATGCGGAGTGCCTAATCCTTGGGATTTTAGCGATGGCCATTGCGTAGATAGTGTAAGTTGGCAGATCCTCCTCGCCTACCATCCCAAAACTCGCGCACGCCCATATGCTATCAGAATATCCATATATTTCCACTCCATACAACGACACTGACAGATACGAGTGCAGTTCGCCTTCTGGACAGGCATCTCCCCTATCGACATAATAACAGAACTCGTCATCTGCATCCTACCTATTTACATCGTGAAACCAGTCCAGGTCGTCTCCGGGAAGAAAGTCACCGTTGTGGTTGCATTCTTCATCCGCATCTTGTAGGTCTATTCTAGGACTTACTGCAAATATAGATCTAACAAGAGACTGGCCAGCGTTATCATAACCACAGTTATTCGCCTCATCCTCATGCGCCACTCCCAGTCCTCCCCCTTCACGGACATGAACGACGCCGCGTTTGCAACAACCATCACAACAGAATGCGTCCTCTGCGTCAGCATCATGACAGCCTGTATCCCGTGCCTGAAACCGTTCCTCGACGCCTTTGACAGCGGCATGCTCAACGTATCATTACATAAGCGCATCGGTGGAGGCAGCAATAGCAACTCTTATGGCAATGCGTACGCGATGACGAGTATGAGCAAAGGTGTTAAAGAATCAGCCACTAGGTCACGGTACATGGAGGATGAGATCGAGG